ACTGCTTCCTGCTCAGGTGGCAGATCAAGAACAACATGTGAGGGGTTGTCGAGTAGACCCCAGTCAAAGTTGATGATGTCGGGGGAAGATGGCAAGGGATTGGCAGGTGGCTGAGACTGTAGGCTGGAATGATTGTCACCTGTTAAAGATGTAAGCAAAGTACAAATGCTATTATTGACTAATGTAAATGCTTGGGAGACTGAGGCTTCAGGAGCCAGAGGTGGTGATCCAGGAGGTTGATCTTGATCTTGATCAAGCTCGTATTGGCAAGCATACTCGGCTTGGGCCTGGTGCAAAAGAGACTGTACATGGCGGGGTAGGTGCTATGGATAGCGCAAGCGCCCATCGCGACACAAACAGCACCTATATCGTGGCTGGCCTTCTGAATTGTGTACGAGCTCCCATAATGCTTACAGTGCGAGAATAATATGTCTCAGCCTTAGTATTTTACAGTGAACTCAAGCCAGCACTTACTTTCGTCAATTAATATAGGCATCTTGGAAAAGATGGGGGAGAGATTAAGCACTGGTATTGATCTAGGAGTGCTATGGTACGAATACAAAAACAGAGTAACAACGGCAAAGCATATCACGATCTAACTGGTCATAATAAGCTTTGATAGCGGGGTTGGAGATCATTTGAAGATTATCTTGAGCTGGGGTCTGGGTATGGTTGCAAATTGAGAAATCAGGTGCTCGGTTGGAGTCTGGATCAGAATCCATGGTTATATTTGAAAAAAAAGCTAGACCTAATAAACACATGGTGCTGAGTCTGGGCTGCCACATGTACGGGGGCTACTCGGAGAAACTTGTGCGGAGTGACTACAAATCTCTGTCCGTGTAGGCAATGAATGGTTTTTGTGGAGACTTGGAGCAGTATCAAAGTGCACAAAGACATCACTCATAGTCAGAATGGGTGAGCCCCATCAGAGTCAAGTACAGTGTTGATCTATTGCTAAGCAGAAAGACAAGTGTCAGTACCAGTCATACCATGGCTGTGGT